CTGTTCTTCTCCATTCCACCTCCAGACCCTCCATTAGTAAGAGTTCATCAACATAACAGAGCAAACCCACTGAAGATCCCAGAGGAGCAACCAGAGGACCAGAGGGACCATGCACAATGAAGCCTATAAAGTAAACAAACTTTATTCATTAAATACTTGGCTGTTTAACTTGTTTCAACAATTCCAACATTACATTACATAAGCACCAAAGAAATCATAAAAAAAATTTAAAAAAATTACATAAAATGTGTAAAAAATAACTCCTCCTCAACAACTGAGCACAATGCCCCATTACCACACCATTTAATCTCAAACGTTAATAGATCCTTTGAAGACTTATAAAAACAAAACTCAATCAACACTCCTTATTTCACCAAATTTAAAAACCATTACCACCACATCTTCACCAGACAATCTTTCAACCTTACTTTTCCTGCTCATATAAATGGCAAAGTTCAAAAGCTGACATGTAAACCTATTACCTCTAACAAATTTAAAACCAAGAATACAAATTCTCATAGAAAACAATTCATTAAGGGAGGTAAAAAAAAGTCTTCCAAAATTCAAGCTCAAGTTTCAAGTTTAATTTATTAAAGCACATTTAAAACAACCTTGGTTGACCAAAGTGCTGTACAAAATGATGTACTGTAAGTCCATCACCCAAATTAAAATAGACATTCACAGGACATTGAAAGCACAATAATACAAATAGACTTTTAAACTAGACACTGTAGTCGCTGTTTTGATAGATAATGGCAATGTATTCCATAACTTGGGTCTAGCTACTGCAAAAGCTCTATCACCCCTGCATTGCAGTCTACTGTAGATCTGGGTACCAGTAGAAGATAACTGGTCTGTGATCTGAGTAATCTGACAGGATTGAAAATTAAGAATAAAGGTTTCAGTCTGTCACATTCCATAAAATCATGAAAAACAGTTTCTCTTTCATAACAGGGCCTATCAGCAATGACTTCAGGATTAAGAACTGAAATAAAAGCATTAACCGCAATGACACAGTGAAGTAGTGTCCACTGTATATCACCTGCCCTTTTAGATAACGGTGTCTTACAGCGACCTCCATTCAGGTTTCACATTCTTTTCTACACCCAATACATTACGCCAAGGTGTGTCAACTTTATCATTCAGTACCTTTTTATTAAAAACTTTAACACACATTTTATAAAAATCTTTGCCAGTAGCTGTACTGTAGATAAGTCCAAGCACAAGAGTTTTTCAGCATCTACAATAGGTCCCGTACACTGTAAAAAATGATTCTGAGTTTTAGTCAGGTGGACAAGT